AGTGGATCTTTCTGCAAGCCCAGCCAGATCCATGCCAAGGCAATACGTGCTACAGGAACTGAGAGAAGGAAGAGCCCTTAAGGTCACAGTCTCTGAGATAAGAACCTTATACTTTTTTTTTTTTTTTAAACATTCATAGTGGTTATTCTAGTTCAGGAAAAGGTCTAAATTTTAGTATTTTTAAAAAAGAAAAGCGAATTTTGTTACTTTTAAAAGTAACTATCATACTTAAGATACAGATAACAGAATTAGGATAAGGAAATGAAAAAAACTAATGAGCTCATTTAAATGTCAGTATTACTAATAACTAGTCAAAACTCTCTCAGGTCCATGTTTTCTTTACACTGTCCTGCTTCTACTGGGTAACGTCTTATTAGGGGAATGCCCACCTGACCTTCCAGCCCAGTTCAGGCTTCAGCTCCTCTCTTGACCCTCACACCTTTGCCTCTGCAAAAGTGGGTGCTCTGAGAGTAGGGAGTGCATCTAATATATTCTCAGAAAAACAGACCAGCAGAAAAGTTTTCTTAACAAATATTTAAAAAGAAATGTATCCTTAACCTTTAAGCCTTTACTTAAAAATGATTCTGACTTTTTACTGGGTTCCCACAAACACTAGGAAGACACTAGGTTTTTCAGAAGCTTTGAAAGTATGTAATTGATACCCAAGCCTATGAGGACAGTACAGTTCATTAAATAAGGATATGTCAATTACTCAAAATTGACCAATGCATTCCGAAATGAGAAAGAACAACTCATCCAGTGTCTTGAAAGCAATTAAGTTACAAGGAAAAAACTGAACATAAAATTCACTCTAGTTCTATTTGCTTATGATTGCTCTTTAAGAAAAATTCTATTTTAAGAGTAGTTCTAAATTAGTGTATAAATTTCACACTTAAGGAAGCCAAACTGTGAGAGGAAAACCTTCAGGAAATTAGTTAACATACATTAAAGCTCCTAGAATAACTGCAAATGCCTAAAGAGAGTAGGAACCAAGAAGAGAGCAGAAAGTGATGCTCCTGATATTTGAAAACACTAAAGGGAGACACTGAAAGTCTCATCATTTGTAGGGAAGTTAATCTTGCAGAAGATATGAAAACCTAAAACACCAAGTGCACCAAGCTGCTGCTTTAATGTAACTTAATAATTTAGGGAACGAGCTGGCTAATCACATAAGAATTCCCTGCAAGCTTTGTGCCTCTGTACACTCTCTTGGGCTGGAAATTTCCAAAAGACAAGAAAGACCAGACTGCTTCTCATTCTTCCTGCCAAGTAACAGAAGCCCAAAGAGCCCCAAGCAAAATCTGAAAGCTAAAATACAAATTGATCTCACTTCACTTAATAGCTGTAGTCTTAAAAGATCTTCAAACTATGATCCGACTTTAAATACACTACAAGAACAAAAGATTTATAGAAAACTTGTCAAGAATGCAAATAAAAACTTTATTTTATAGGCTGGGATTTTTACAATTTTGGCTATCTTAACATGGGTAAACTTGCAAGTAAATAACACACACTTTCTGTAAATTACATAAAACTTCATTAACTCTACTGTAGGGGACTCCTATGTAATGAAGAATCAGAGGTTCACAACTTAAATATGCCCCAAAAAGGATTTAAAAAAAAAAATCCTTTGGTGGGAATGGGAGTGGTGCAGAATTCTTCAACAAAAGTGGACAAGCTATCTGCAAGGCACATCAGCGATCATGAAGTCTTGGGGCCTGAACTCCTGCAATGTTAAAAACATAAATCAGAACTAGATAGAGGGTGTTCGTGTGTATATATAAGATTTAACACCAGCATAGTCCTACAGAGAGGAATAAAAACTGTAAAGACAGAAAAACCCAACTTTTACATATGAATTTTTATCATTTTTTTCTTTTGCTTTTTTTGGTTTTAGAGTGTCTGAAAAGGATGTTTATAAAATATATTCTACGAAAGCATTAATCTGTTATCCTTAGATATTTTGGCATAGCCCTTTATTCTTTTCCAAGTGTTTAATTGATATAATCAAATGTGATTTAATTTATATCATGGTAATGCTTTTCAAATGTGCATAAATATACAATCCAGAAAAAAATTCTTTATAAAGAGTGTGTCTTAGTTTTTCAGTACAGAAAGTGTGCTCACCATATTCTTAGCAGTAACTTCAGTAAATTCAGGCTCAAGGTCAAAAACATTTAGTTTCTCTGGTGCAAACTGATTCTTTGAAATGTGCATCCAAATGTTTTCTAAAATGGCAAGCATCTTAAAGAAAGAAACTGCCTTTCACCTGCAGTCTGGTTTACAACCTGGAATCTATAATAAATAGGAGAGGGGGGAATAGTGACAATACCCTTTATTTTTATGTATATCACAGACAGAGCTGTGGGAAGGTAAAATTCATGATTAATATGATATTCATGTGTCTATAAACATATTCTTTGTTACTTGAAGTTGTATGTTCTAATTTTTGTATATTCTTTTCCTCTCTGTTAATTGCATAAGTATAAAGTTATTACTGTTTTATGACTTGATAATATTTCGTTTTAAAAGGAAAAAGTACACTAGTTACTAGTTTCTTGCCTCTAAGCGCCCAATACTCCCTTCTATATGTGCTCTGGGGAATCCTTTTCTCATAGGAAATACTTCCTTATATTAAACTCCCCTTGTTTTACATGCTTCCCCACTAATAAAAAGATTTCCAAAATGCCAAACCCCAAATAAAAGTTAAATTTGAAAAATGCCAAGATAATTTTAAATCTCCAATAGTCTAGTATGTATATTTACAATCCAAGCACAGAATTAAAGTACTCTCATTTTCTCCCACTGAAAATAAGTAGTGAAGAGACAAATTCTGGTAGATTCATACAATTAAAGATACTCAGCAATAAAAATGAACAATAAAGTATTGCAAAAACATGGATGAATCTCAAAACAATGAAGTGAAAGAACACAAAAGGCTATAGACAATATGATTTCATTCATATGACACCTTAGGATAAAACTATAGTGATAAAAACAGGGCACAAGGGAATTTTTCAGGATGACAAAAATGTTCTAATATTTGATTATGGTTGGTATTTATAAAACTGTATATATCTGTCAAAGCTTATCAAACTGTATACTTCAATGGAATGAATTTTATGATATATAAATAAAACTTCAATGAACCTGACTTAACAACAACAAAAAACCCCTTTATTATTATTTTTTTTAAAGTTGTTGATGGTAGTTAATATAAAAGAAATTTTAGGGGCTGGGGTTGTGGCTCAGTGACAAGTACTTGCCTTGCACATGTGAGGCACTGGGTTTGATCCTCAGCACGACAATAAAAAAAAATAATAAGCAAAATAAAGATGTGTGTCCATGTATAACTAAAAAAAAAATTTTTAAAAAGGAATTGTATAGCCTTAAACGCAAATGTCAGAAACTTAAAATACTTAATAAGCTCAATTGCTCAGTGAAGAGAAAATCAGAATAAGTTCATAAAAAGTAGAAATGCTAAAAGATAAATACATAAATTAATGAATCCAAAAGTCAATGCTCAGTAGTAAGGACTGACAAAACCAAAAGCTGATATTAGCTTTTAAAAAAATTGTAAAACCCCTGATAAGTCTGCTTTAAACAAAAAGAATAAATACTATAAATGAAAAGCAAACTACTAACTATAGATATGGCAATTTTATTTCATTTTTGCAGTGCTGGGGATTGAACCCAGGATTGTGCACACTAGGTAAGTATTCTCTCACTGAGCCATATATAATGTCCCTTACCCCAAATACTGTGTATTTTAAAGTTCAAAACTATATGACAATACATTACAAAAACTTAGATGAAGTAAAAATTCTAATGGAGGGTGGTCCTAGATTAATCTAGAATGAAACTACACAAAACAAGGATTAAGAAATCTGGACCACAGAATAAACTATTGTTAAAAACGTGTATTCAAATGACAGAGCCATAGAAGATGAAACAATCTGAAAACAGAGAGATAAGCATAATATTATTGAGCAAGTTGTTTTCCCTAGGAGGAAAAAAGTTAACTCCCAACTTCCAGTTCTGACAACATGGCTAACTACTGAGATTAACTCCCGAAACTTCCTCCTCTGAGAGAGGGGGCCGCTGGGGTCCAGAGACACTGTGTGTACCACCAGCCCCAGCCCTTCTCATGATGTTAACTAACACTGTTTTTCTCAGTAATTGGGTAAAATGAACACCAGCATAGTCCTACAGAGAGGAATAAGAAATGTAAAGACAGAACTGAAGAGAAGCACAAGCCCTGTCAGAACTGCCCTGGTGAGAGGGAAAGACTCAAGGACTTTGTTGTATGGTGATTAGGAATGATAACAAGAGTAATAATAAAAGAATTATATTTAACATTTATTAACTATTCATTATAGTTGGTCATACATTAAGTGCTTCACATGAATTACACTTCATTTCATCTTTACCAGATCTTACAGCTAAAATTATTATTATTTTTTTTTTTTAGCTAAAATTATTTATGTGATTCTATAGATGAGGAGTTTGAGGTTTGAAGAATTACATAATCCAATCTGACTGAGGTTACACAGTCAGCAAGTGGTAGAGACTAAAATGCAATCTGTTTCTGAGTCTGGAGTCTGCATTTTTAATGAGTCATCACCCAACATCCACTATGTGGTGCATTCACACTCATGCTCTCAGCTAAATGGAGAGAAGATGAAGTGCAAAGATACCAACAGAGCCCATGTGCTGAGCAGCACCAGGCTGGCAAGTTTTATTCAAGCCTAGTTACCACATGTTAAGGGGTTAGGGGCAAGAGACTGGGGCTTTCTCCAGCTGTAAAAAATGGAAAATTGAGCTAATCAAGTAACCTGTACAGTTTGTGAGAAATAATCAAAATTGCATGGGTAAAAGTGCGTGGAGACAAATTTTTGCTGAAGTTTTGAAATGCTGTATCTTCAGACAGAAATTCTGAGCAGTGATATAGACTAACGCCCAGTTTGTGGAATCCTGCCTCTCCTCAGAAATGATCAGAGTTGTTAAAAAAAAAAAAAAAAAAAACCTACTGCATGGGGCTGCAGTTGTGGCTCAGAGGTAGAAAAGCACTTGCCTCGCATGTGTACAATTCTCAGCACCTCAGCACCACATATAAATGAATAAATAAAATAAAGGTCCATCAACAACTAAAAAATTATTTAAAAAAAAAACACTGCATGATGCCTATTGGAAATGTGGCAGAAGTTGGAATACATGTCCCTTAAGGCCCCTTTTAATCCTTAAAGGCTCTCATTCTCTGACTGATACAGAGTTGGATCAGTAGTATCACTAAGTAAGGGGGACAATGGCTTCTAGGAATTCAAGACATATATATGCCCACTTGTCACCTGCTCTTCCTGTGAAGCCACATGGAAGTGACTGTAAGACAGGCTTTCCTCAGACCCAAGGTGCTAAAATATATGTTTGTGGTTCTTAGGATCCATTTCTGAGCCAGTCTGGACTCAGCCTCTGGCTCATTATGTATTAAAAATAGAAATTATCCTATATTTCAACATTAGAGAATATGATCTTAAGAATGAACTTTAAAGAAGAAGGCTGCTAAATAGCTGCAGATCAGGCAGTCTCAGAATCAAACCAAGGAAGTAAAAACCAGTGTCAAGCTCATACAGATCCATATTGTTTTGAGCAACCTTCTGAGGTCACCAGCTACAAGCTTTTAAGTCTTGCTCTCAGTGCTATTTCAATAACTGAGTTAAAAATCCAAGCTCAAACCAGCTAGTGTGATTCACCAGCAGAACCAGGCTACTGTGTTCTGAAACAAAGACGACATTCATTTGCCATGTGGTTTCTCAGAAAGCGTATCTACACAGCAGGCTTCCCTGGCAATTTTGGATACATATGTCTTTTCCAGACTGCTGTTTTTGGCTGGTTTTCTTAAAGTAAAAAATACAAGACCTCATTATATTCCAAAGTACAAATGAATTCAGTCTCAACATACTTTAAACCTGACTTTACAGGAAAAATAAGAAGTAGAAACAAAAATAATGTGCCCTGTCAAGAACAATCTAGGTTAGTCTTCTTACCAGAAACTGCTCAGCATGATTACCTTAGTAAAGCTCTATTAACATGCAACTAGTGTTTATTCTGGCTAGCTCCTAGCCATTCACATGGCACAGTAGGGTTGGAGACCTAATACTAATCATAATCCCCATTCATCTTTCTTCCAGCACAAAATTAGAAGAAATTCATGAGAAAAAGGTTAAAAAGCAAATAAGCATGGAGACTGTCCAGAAAGGTGGAGGGAGAAGTTTGAGAGCACAGGGTTTAATGGCTAAAATCCTGGCTTCATTCACACACTTAATTCAACAGGCAAACAACGACAACAACAAGTGCAATCATGAAGCCTTTAAACCTCTCTCCAACTGAAAAGAAGAAAGACTGGCTTAGCAACAGTGATCTGAAAGCAGCCCAGCTCCACCAAAAAAGCTCCAAATACTAAAGGCCAAATAAAGAGAATGATTAACTCAATCAAAATAATGTTATAGACTATATGTAACCATAAAATGATGATTTTATAAATGTTTTAATGACATTGTTCATGATAAGTGAAAAAAAATCAAGCTATATTACACATGCAGAATGATCTCAGCTATGTAAAATAATATATAAATACAAAAAAACCCGGAAGGAAACATGTTAAAATGTAAGTGATGATTATCGCTGAGGGTGGTAGAATTATAGGAAACATTTTCTTCTTTAATATTTTCAATATCTGAACTTTCTAAAATGTGGATATAATTTTTTTACAATTATGAGGGAAAATAGCATTGTAACATCCTAGAAGAGCAAACCGACGCTTTAAAAGAAAAAATTTAGGGCTATGGATATAGCTCAGTTGGTAGAGTGCTTGCCTCACATGCACAAGGCCCTGGGTTCAATCCCAGCATCACAAAAAAAAAAAAAAAAAAGGTTTACTGCAAGCCAGAGACTCCTAAGTGCTTTAAAGCCATTGTCTCATGTCATACTCACTATGGCCTGGCCCTATGATATGTGATTTTTATCCATGTTTGACAGATAAGGAAATTGAGGGTTAGATAAGGTGACATGGCAGCTTAAGAGAACAGTCTATGAACCCTAACAGAATGACTCTGATTGTTTTAACCATTGCCTTCAACCAAATGTAGAATCTGTCTCCCTGCCTATACGCTTGACTGAAAAACAAGACTCAATGATAAAATCTACTTTAAAATAATACACTATAATAATTTAGGAGGATATGATTACAAAAGAGGTACAAAACAAGATACTAAGTTAAAAACACCTCTAACTAAAGTGATAAGCAGAACCCACATCATAGAGCAGACATCACTATGGCTGAAAATACATCAGCACAACAAATTCAATCCAGAGCTAAATGCCACAACACAAGAGAAAGCTAGAAAAAACTGTCAAAAAAAGACCCCAGTATCCACTTAGCAAACTGCCAGGAAAAAAAGAAAAATATTTTAAAGATACAATTACTAAGACTTGGAAAGAAAAAATTTGAATCTGCCCTCCAAAAAGTCACCAAGCAATGAGAGGCATGGACCACTGGTGACTAGCAGACAGGGAAAAAACTGAGAGAAAAATAAAAAGCATTGTACTGGATGCCAAATTATATAATCTGTCACCATCTGAGGAGGCCCTCCTTACTTTTTTTTTCAGTCCAGCACTGAAGGTCTTTGGGTTAGAAATAATCAATTTTGCTTGGCAAAAAGGCATCAAGACACTAAAGTACTATGGATCAAATTCTGTAGAATCAGCCTATTTGAAATGCATTAAAGTCAGTGCCAAAACCAATACGGTATTCTGTTCACAGCTCCTTTCTGGGGGGTTTGAAAGCAGAAAAATACTGAAACTCAGAGTCGGAAGTAGAAACTTTCTATCTGTAAAAACAAGCCACATTTAGATACAGATGCTATCAAGACTTAGAAATTGCAAATTAACCACGTATTTTAAGTCCCTGGTTGTTAGCAAAAGTGGCTGTTTAGAAATTCATGAAGCTGGATTGAAAAAGATTTCCTAAACATGACATAAAATTCCAGGAACCACAAAGTAAAAGTTAGTAAATCAAAATACATAAAAATCTAAAATGTCTGAATAGTTAGACATTATATAAAAGCTTTAAAAAACAGAAAATACATTTATCACCTATTAAAAGGTTGATAATCTTACTTGATCACCACTCTTAAAAATCAGTAAGAAAACTAATGAAAGATAAATAACAAACTGGCAATTCACACACCAAAAACAATAGAGAACTTTGACAATATTTATCACAATTTCAAATAAAAAATTTGACCCAATAATTCTACTTGCAGGAGTTAATTCTAAGGGCATACAATGTAAAGATGTTCATTAAACCAATATTTATTAATATTAAAAAGTTGGCGGTCACCTAAAATGTTCATGAATTGGGGATTAGTTAAATCAAAGGTCACAAATACAAACACTTTCAGGGCTGGCACAAGCGATAAAAATAACCCCAAGGAGCCATTTATAAAAAATAAACACAGGAGGTGGTGAGATTTGTGGTGAACTAGAGAGCTCATGCCTATTCAAATTACAGAAAATTATATGTGCCATGGGCCAAACTGGCTTTCCCTTCTCAGCTTCCTGTTCTCGCTGCAACCAGCCTCAGGATCCCATGACTTTGGATGCTGAGGGCTCACCTTTTTATCACGTTTGAGGAGCTACAAGAGTTCACTGATGTGGTACCACACTCTCAGTACTGGACCAAACTTTAAAGGTTATCTAGTCCAGTACAAAACTTCCCTGGAGGTTGCAGTCATTCAGCCTTGTTTAGGCCCTGGTAAAGAAAGCAAAGCGGGGAGGAGAAGGAAATGGACAGCTAGAAGTCAGAGAATGAGGACCAGGCCATACTAGCCATACTAGCTTTTTCCATCCTTAAAAAAACAAAACAACAGATGGGAGGAGAGGAAGTGAGAAAGAAAAAAGGTGAAATCGTGTACGTCACTAGCTCTTGCATAAATGAATATAAAACTCAAATCTTGATCAAATACCATGAATTCAAGCACCATTCTCATATAAGTGCTGAATTCATAGTACCATTGTTCAAAACATGCCTTCAGCAATAAACTTCTAGGCACCTGTTACTCTCATTAACTAGGCTGGTCCCAGGAAAGAATGGCCACAGATAATGTGACAGATTGTATATGGTATTTTTATTGCAAGATCTTAATTCACCTCAGGAACTGTTTTAAATTAATCCTAGAATGGTTGTAGTTTATAATTATAGCCTCAGCAGCACTTCTAAAAGTGGAAAACCTCTACTTGAGTCTGGAATGGAACGTTTCTTCCCAATGTGTGAAAATAACCTTCTGCTTGGTCCTGCCATATCTGGGAATCAGTGCACTTAGGAGGGGAAAGCAAATTTCCTGACTTTACTTCATTTTAAACACTAATCCCTTAAGATGTTTTAAACTCTAATTAGCTACATCCACTTCTGAAGGTTACAAAATCTTGTAATAGTTTTTAATCATGATTTTCCCAAAGAGTAAACTGAAGTGAGCGGTGGGTCTAAAGAGTGGATTTGAGTTTGCTCTTCCTCCAGCAGCTGGCCACCTTCATATCCAAGGTTGTATGCAAGAGGAATTCAGCTCTGCAAACAGGAATACTCAGGGCAGTGATGGCTCCCAGATAGCCCCATATCTGTCTCTCACACACACACACACTTAACAACCGTACCACAGGATTAAAACTATTTTGAAAAAAAAAAAAAAAAAAGAATACAAATGAGGGCACTGTCCAGGTCTTATATAGCTTCCAAGGGCAAGAACAGAGGAGAAATAATCTGGTGAGAGAAAAGACAAGGGTCTGTCAATGACTCGATTAATATGCTAGATGCTTGAACCCTAGGAACAAAAAAGTCACAACAGAATTCAGTTCATCTTAAGTATTAAATTAGTGCTTCAAACCATACGTGAGCTAAGAAGTGAGAGCTGTCATGGCAGGGCCTCAACAAAATGTGAAGTAAGTGCTGGGGCTTCTTCCTACCTCCCTTCTTTTGGGTGGCCTACCTAATTATTTTTTTTTAACTCTTCCTTTTCTGGTAGTTCATTCATCCCTCCCACCTTATGTTTTGATATGTACACAAAATTTATTGAATGGCCATTCCGTTAGGCACTCTACTAAGTACTTCAAACGTATTTTAAGCCAGATGCAGTCATGTGTGCCTACAGTCACTGCACTTGGGAGGCTGAGGCAGGAGGACCACTTGAGGAGTTGAGACTAGCCTGAGAACAGCAAGACCCTGTCTCATAAATAGGTAGGTAGGTAGAAATTTTACAATTTTTTTATCTTCTCAATAACCCTGAGGTAAATGTGGTCAGTATATTCATTTTAAATTAAGCAACTTGCCTAGAATTTTAGATCACGTAATAGTGAAGGCACGACTGACCAGGTCTATCTGGCTCTTGGTCACTTACCCTGCCTCCTATGTTCATTTTAATCTTCTGAGTGTCCAAAGCACTTCTTGCATTTTAAAAGGACAGGGGAAAAGCCTTATTAACACTAAGCAACCTTTATGTGCTTTCTACAGGGTCTGTCTTTCAGATTCTTGCAGCTCCTGTAATAGATAGGCAGTAGTTCCATTTTAAAGACTAACAAAGAACCAGAAGGTTTGAGGGCTCTTTTTAAACTCATCTTTAGCAGATGAAGACAGCCAGCCCTAGAAAGGGCAGCTGGCCTGATTAAGGTTACAAGGCTATCAGAAGCTAGGCCTGATTCCTGATATCACTACTCCCTTTTAACTACACGTGAGCCATCACTTGGAAAGGAGCCCATTTACTAGCAATAAACCAGAAATTCAGGCACTTGCTAAATGTTTAATATGCTTTATCCAGCTTCAATCTACAGTTCTAATCAATGTTTTCTACTTAAGAAGGGAGAGAAAACTTAAATTCCACATCTGTCAAATTTATAGTCCAAATAACATTCCTATACACATAGATGAGTAAATTTTACATAAGAAAATTGAAAAGGATTTGGAAGTGCATTTTGGGCTCAAATGACCATCAGATAACACATTCTGAGCACCTGTGTGCTGTGGCTATGAGCCAAGTGCTGGACAGACTAGAGGAAGAAAAGCAGCAGCATCTGAATTAGATACACGCTCACCACCAGCACATATGGCATAATACTTCTTAGGCAAACAAATATATTATTCTAAGATGATTAAGGGACTTCATATAAAAAATGAATTTAAAGCTTAACTCCATCACTTATAAGTCATGCACTCTGGAGAGACATCATCTAGTGTCTCCAAGCCTCACTGCCAAAATGAATGGGATAAGAGCTATCATGCATTTTACGTGAGAAGATGAGTGTGAGAAGCAAATGGGACAAAATATTCATAGGGACATACACATAATAAGCACTCAACTAGGTGTACCTACCAATAAAACAAAATGAGACAAGAAAATGAGCAAACTATAGAAAGATTATTTAAAAAAATAATATCTATTACTGCTGTTAAAAAAAACAAATTAGCAGAAAAACAAAAATGAGACAAGAAAATGAGCAAACTATAGAAAGATTATTTTAAAAAATAATATCTATTAATGCTGTTAAAAAAAACAAATTAGCAGAAAAGTTCATACTGATTAGACAATAAATAACTGGGAATAAGAAGAAAAATTCAGGAACAAATGCCTGAATTAGACCAATTGGCACACTGGGACAGATATCAGGAAAAAATGTATCAAATGTTTGCTAAAGCATTAAGACTTCTATACAATAGACATCTTTTTTTTGTTTTCACAGAGATTATGTTTGGTCAAAACCAAAACTGTTCTTAAAATAATAATGCTTTTTGGTTAGCATGACATTTTCTGACAACATAATTATTATAAAATCCATAGTTACAAAGTAAACAATAAAGAAAATAAAAGAAGGTAAAAATTAAATTGTCCCAACATGGGAATTTGTTACCTAAACAATAAAATGCAAAGCTTGTCAATATGCGCTGTGTTCTGAATAAGCATGGAAAAAAACATTTAGAGTCAATGATAAATATTCCTCTCGATGTCATAAAATTCTCAGTAGGACAAAATAAACCTACAATCATTCTCCTTGGTTACTCCAGATCTCATCATACATCATTTTACAAATGATTCTTCTTCCTGGCTTATAACACTAATTAAATACCTACTCTGTGTTCAGTGTTGTTTGTTGTTGCTTTCACGTAAGAAGAAAAAAGAGTTAACAGAGATGTGACTTGAGAATCTGGGCTCTAGAATTGATTCTGGCACTAAGTAATGAAGTTGTCTTTTAAAAATGTCAAACTATAAGGGCTGTGGCTGTGGCTCAGTGGTAGCACACTTGCCTGGCATGTGTGAGGCACTGGGTTCAATTCTCAGCACCGCATACAAATAAATAAAGGTCTATCAACAACTAAAAAAATATTAAAAAAATAAAAATGTCAAATATAAAAAAAGGATAGGAAACTGTTTCATTTCCTCACAAGAACACTGTAAACATCACCAAATAAAATAACATGATATGAATGTACCACTTTAACTGTATTAAATGCTCTGTCTTAAGTGATGATACACTATTACTAACATCAGCAAATGGAAGCATTCCAGGAGAATGGACATACCAGGTCCTTTGACCTTCCCCTGTCTCTGAATATTTGTCATCAAAGAGCTAATGAATATATAAAGAACTCAAAAAACTTAAAACAAACAAAAAAAATCTAATCAATAAATGGGCTAAGGAGCTGAACAGTCACTTCTCAGAAGAAGGTGTACATTTGATCAACAAATATATTAAAAAAATATACAACATCTCTAGTAATTAGAGAAATGCAAATCCAAACTAAGATTTCATCTTAGGCCCATCAGAATAGCAGTTATCAAGAATACAGACAATAATGTTGGCGAGGATGTGAGAGAAAAGGCACACTCATGCATTGCTGGTGGGACTGAAAATTGGTGCAACCAATATGGAAAGCAGTATGGAGATTCCTTAGAAAACTTGGAATAGAACCACCACTTGACCCAGCTATCCCACTCCTCGGTCTATACCCAAAGGACTTAAAATCAGCATACTACAGTGACGCAGCTACACAATATTTATAGCAGCTCAATTCAAAATAGCTAAACTGTGGAAGCAACCTAGATGTTCTTCAATAGATGAATGGATAAAGAAACTGTGGTATACATACACAATGTAATATTACTCAGCATTAAAATAGAATAAAATTATGATATTTTCAGGTAAATGGATGGAGTTGGAGAATACCATGCTAAGTGAAGTAAGCCAATCCCCAAAAACCCAAAGGCTGAATGTTCTCTCTGATAAGTGGATGCTGATCCATAATGGGGGCGACATGGGAAAAATGGAGGAATTATGATGGGGCAAAGGGGAGGAGAGGTGATGAGGGGGCAAGGTGGTAAGAAAGATGGTGGAATGAGATAGACATCATTATTTTAGGTACATGTATGACTACGCATATGGTGAGATGCCGCTACATCATGTACAACCATAGAAATGTAAAGATGTGCTGCAATTGTGTATAATGAATCAAAATGCATTCTGCTATCATATATACCTAATTAAAATAAAAAGGACTAATGATACTTTTTTTCTACAAAGGTTAAATACAATGTGAAATAATAAGTAACAGAATTCTACCAGAATTCTGAAAGAAAAGTTGGTTTAAATAACCCAAACTAAATTTCATTTAATCCTTTCTCCAACCCTGTGGGAAAAGTAGACCAGAAACCTGAAACTCAAAGAGGAGAGCCACTCACCTAAGATCCCAGCTAGGGCTGAGGCCATTCTCCCCTCTTCTGATGTACTGTGATGTCCATTCTACTGGTCTGTGTCACAAGGTGCCTCTATTTTCAAGGAACTCACATCACACAATGTCAAACTTGTATGCTGGTGAATTAATTCCATTACCCATTTTACCTAGCCACAACCTCTCTCTGGCATAAGGATACGCCACACAGAAGACTGCACACACTAGAAGCAAAAAGGTGGCATCTACTGGCAAAAGTGTGTTATTGCAATTGGAGGTCTGGCTTACAACACTCAAGAGAGCTTGGTGGTTTGAAAAGCATGTGAGGTGGGTAGAAAGAAAAACTTGATTTTTCTATTTTTATAAGGAATGTCATTGGGATTTTTTTAAAAAATATTTTTTAGTTGTAGTCAGACACAATACCTTTCTTTTTATTTATTTATTTTTATATGGTGCTGAGGATCGAACCGAGGGCACATGCTAGGCCAGTGCTCTACCACTGAGCCACAACCCCAGCCCTGTCATTGGGATTTTGATTGGAATTTCATTAAATCTGTATAGTGCTTTTGGTAGTATGGTCATTTTGACAATATTAATTCTGCCTATCCAAGAACAAGGGAGAACTTTCCATCTTCTAAGGTCTTCTTTCTTTATTTAGTGTTCTATAGTTTTCATTGTAGAGGTCTTTCACATCTTTCATTAAGTTGATTTCCAAGTTTTTTTTTTTTTTTTTTTTTTTGAGGTTATTGTAAATGGGGTAGTTTTCCTAGTTTCTCTTTCAGAGGATTTGTCACTGATTTACAGAAATGCCTTTGCTTTATGGGTGTTGATTTTATATTCTGCTACTTTGCTGAATTCATTTCATCTGGAAAAACAAGAAACCCAGAATAGACAAAGCAATCCTTACCAAGGAGAGTGAAGCAGGTGGCATCACTATACCAGACCTTAAACTGTACTACAGAGAAATAGTAACAAAAACAGCATGGTATTGGCACCAAAATAGACATGTAGATCAATGGTACATAGAGGACACAGAGAAATCCACATAAATACATTTATCTCATACTAGACAAAGGTGTCAAAAACATATTGGAGAAAAGATAGCTTCTTCAACAAATGATGCTGGGAAAACTGGAAATCCATATGCAGCAAAATGAAATTAAATCCCTCTCTCTCACCATGCACAAAACTCAACTCAAAGTGGATCAAGGACCAAGGAATTAAACCAGAGACCCTACGTGTAACAGATGAAAAAGTAGGCCCAAATCTTCATCATGTTGGATTAGGCCCCAGCTTCCTTAATAAGACTCCTATAGTGCAAGAAATAAAACCAAGAATCAATAAATGGGATGGATTCAAACTGAAAAGCTTCTTCTCAGCAAAAGAAACACCTCAGTCAGGTGAATAGATAGCCTACAGAATGGGATCAAATTTTTACCACATGCACATCAGATAGAACACTCATCTCTAGGATATATAAAGAACTCAAAAAACTTAACACCAGGGCTGGAATTGTGGCTCAGACGAAGAGCACTCACCTGGCATGTGAGGCACTGGGTTCAATCCTCAGCACCACAAAAAGACAAGAAATAAAAAATGTATTGTGTCCACCTTCAACTAAAAAATAAATATTAAAAAAAAACTTAACACCAAAAAAACCTCTAAATAATCCCATCAACAAATGGGCCAAGGAACTGAACAGACACTTCTCAGAAAATGATATACAGTCATCAAATATATGAAAAAATGTTCAACATCTCTAGCAATTAAAGAAATAATTAGAGAAATGCAAATTAAAAAAAAAAAAACTATTCTAAGATTTCATCTCACTCCAGTCAGAATGGCAGCTATTAAGAATACAAACAACAGGGCTGGGGTTGTCGCTCAGTGGTAGAGTGCTCACCTAGCAATGCATGAGGTACTGGGTTCAATCCTCAGCACCACATAAATGTAAAATAAAGATATTGTGTCCACATAAAACTTAAGAATATTTTTTTTAAAAAAGAGTAAAAACAACAGTAAGTGTTGGCGAGTATGTGGGGAAAAGGCACACTCATACATTGCTGGTAGGACTGAAAATTGGTGCAACCAATGTGGAAAGCAGTATGAAGATTCCTTAGAAAACTAGGAATGGAACCACCATTTGACCCAGCTATCCCACTATTCGGTATACTTCCAAAGGACTTAAAATCAGCATACTACAGTGACACAGCCACATCAATGTTTATAGCAGCATAATTCACAATAGCTAAATTGTGGAACCAACCTAGATGCCCTTCAGTAGATGGATAAAAAAACTGTGGTATACATATACAATGGAATATCACTCAGCATTAAAACAGAATAAATTATGACATTTGCAGGTAAATGGATGGGGTTGGAGAATATCAAGCTAAGTAAAGTAAGCCAATCCCCCAAAACCGAAGGCCGAATGTCTTCTGACATAAGAATGCTGATTCATAACAGGACTGGGCGTGGGGGGGTCATGGGAGGAATGGAAGAACTTTAGATAGGGCAAAGGGGATGAAAGGGAAGGGAGGGCTTATGTGGGTAGGAAAGATGGTGGAATGAGATGGACATCATTACCCTAGGTACATATACAAAGACACGAATGGTGTGACTCTACTTTGTTTACAATCAGAGACATGAAAAATTGTGCTCTATATGTGTACTGTGAATTGAAATGTGTTTTGCCATCATACAAATTAGAATAAATAAATTTAAAATTAAAAAATAAATAAAATAACATTTAAAATTTTAAAAAGAAAGAAAAATTGTTGAGTAGAGATGAAAGAGGAAGGGAGGGTGAGAGGAAGACATTGGAAAGTTATTAAAATAATACTAATGACTACTTTGGAATTCAATTTTCAACTAGCAATGGTTTTAATTCTTTTGTTTTTTAAGCAGTTTTTTAATCAATCCCTTAGGGAGTTAAGTTTTCTTTAGAAATGTTATCTCTCTGATGTTATAATGGAAGTCAATGGAAGACCCCTGGGGAAAAGGTTTAGGTAACTAAAACGTGTTCCATGGACAATGTTTTGGGAAAGGAAAAGAAAGTGAGGGGGAAAAGTTGGCATTTATGAAGTGCCTATTATGGTGGAGGCATTTTTTATGCATTACCCCTTAACTCTCAAACTAACACAAAGTCTGTCCTGTAGTTCTAGTGTTATACCCCTTTTTACAGATGAAAATGAAGCTTAGAAGAAAGAAACTGGCTTAAAGCTATTCAGAAAATAGTAAAGTCAGGATGCGAACCCTAAAAGCTTGCCTCTAGTGATCTTAAGGATCAGGCCTACTCCTTTATAACAAAGAGCAGTCACTTTGATACACCTAATGTACTTCCAAACAAAGAGACCCAACCACAGTTTATAGAACCTTCTATAGAAACCTGAAATCTAAAATTTTCAGTCAAAAAACTTGGATGTACAGCACAACCAATACCCTGAGTTGTGTCTCTCAGTGGCAGCACAATGAAGCACCAACAATCAGCCTTTCCCCTTTGGTTCAACCTCCCGAAATTCTGTCTTCCTTAGCCTGTTAGTTTGAAGTCTCAAACTGATATGAAGAAAGGAAAAGAAACCTGCTTTCCATTCAAGGATGATTGGGGCTTGGAGTGAACTTGTTGAAGACAAAAGATATCCAATTGTGTTGTATTTCATTTGAGTGGTGGAGCATCAGGATCTTTGTCAAGTGAAGTGGTTATGTTGGGAGAGGGATATGATACAAGCGACACATCTTAGATATGAAAAAAAAAAAAAAGAAAAGGCTCCACATCATGTTTTTCTTTCAGGGGCCCTGGGGGACTTAAGCAAATACTACTTTCAGAGTTCTAAGAGACTCTTTCTTTGGATAGAGATGAGAAAATTGACATAAATCTTCATCCTTGTCTTCTTTTTTTTAAAATGTATTACAATTCTTATTACACATATAGAGCACAATTTTTCATTTCTTTGTATAAAGTATGTTCACATCAATTCATGTCTTTATACATGTACTTTTTTTGCATTACAATTCTTATTACACATATATACCACAACTTTTCATATCTCGGTTTGTATATACAGTATGTTGACACCCATCGTGCCTTCATACATGTACTTTGGATAATGATATCCATCACATTCCACCATCCTTGCTAATCTCCTGCCTCCTTCATCCTTGTCTTCTCAACATTTCATGTCCCAGGATAATAGATTAGTGTACTATCAAGAGCTCATGCCAGAAAAAAATTGGGAGGTGAAGCTGAGTAGAAAGACTAACAGTATTTTTGACAGCTCAGAAGAAGAGTAAAAAATAGGTGAAAGAGGTCATCATTCAAAGGCATGGCTGTGGGTCCAGCAGTAAGAAAAACAATTTACATTCATCTCAGCTGAAAATCTGAAGTTTCTTTTCTAGATTAATAGCAAATTTACTTTTAAAAATATCTTTCAGCCAAATGCAGTGGTACAAGCCTGTAATCCCAGAAGTTCAGAAGGCTGAGGCAGAAAAATCTTGAGCTCAAAGCCAGCCTCAGCAACTTAATGAGAGTCCTGAGCAACTTGGCGAGACCCTGTCTCAAGATAAAATATAAAAAGGGCTACGGATGTGGCTCAGTGGTTAAGTGCCCTAGATTCAATCCCCCAGTATGAAAAAAAAAAAAATCAACTTTTGAAACCTTCTCAACAAACAACAAGTAATACTGAATTTATAGTTGTTTCCCCTTTTCTTTTCTGACTTCAAATTATAGCATAATTAAAGTAATTGAACCAAATCTGACCTTGGTTGAAATGAGATTCAAACTTTAAAAACGTCAGATTCTGTTTATAGCAATTAGGAATCTAGGCCTACAGGACCCCTTCCCTTGCTAATACTAACTTGCATTCTGATAACTTGGGGCAGGCTAACAAACAATGTTTGCCACAAGACTGACTTCACTTTCCTGTGACCCTAGCGCTATGATTAAATTAGTCTTAGAGACTAGTTAGTTTATATAAACAGCACCAGACTGTGGCAGAGACCGATCTCTGAATAAATCTACGCCTTGCTTTTTAAAAAAGCTAAACAGGCTTAAAGTATTTAACTAACCTCTCAATACTGAAAAGCTGAAACTATGATCTTTAAGAATCAAAGGTAAGGGGGAATAGCAAGGACAGTGGAAGGAGACAGTCATCATTATACAAAATTATGTATGAAGATGTGAATTTGGTGTCAACATACCTTATATACAAACAGAGATTTGATAAATTGTGGTATAAAGGTGTATTAAGAATCGTAATGCAAAAAAATATGAATGTAATGCACTCCACTATTGTCATGTGTGTAAGAAATAATAAAAAAAATCAAAGGTAAGACTTATAAAAAGTATCATAAGGTTTATGAAGCAATTAACTTTAAAACCACTGTGAATAACCTAAGCAGAGAACTGGCTGAATAAACTGCAATATATTCTCCCAACAGAATGCAAAGATAGGGAAAAAAAAAAAAAAAAAGGAATGTCAACTATTTCTACATACTGCTATGGAGTGATTTTTAAAGAAGTGATTTTTAAAGATATAAAGTTAAGTAAAAACAAAGAGAAAAGTATGTATACTATACTACTGTTATCTTAGAACATGAGTACAAATATGTGTGTGTGTGTATGTGTGTACACATCTTCAAAACATAACAAAAAAGTGAAAATGGTATAGGAAATAAGGATATATGCTAAATCTGAATAACTCTGTTTTGTGGATTTGCCTTTGGAACCATATAATTTATATAATCATAAGGTAAAACAATAAGAAAAGCAAAATAAAATAACCAGTCTATCTACATACTGAGTATATGCACAACCACAAAGAACTATTCCAAGTGGCTTCAACATACAATAATTTGATTATACTTCTGGGATATGCCCTAAGGACAAAGGGAGCTGTAACACAATTGTGTTCAGTAATTGCTGGTGGAAGTACTGGTACTGTTATTCCGAGGCTGACATGCTTATTATGGAATGTAAAGCAAACATTGGCACTACTGAGGGGAAGGAATCACAAATATTGGATCAAAATGGTTAATACTACATCTGCAGTATTCAATATGAACTGCAATTAGTGTAAGAATTCATGAATTTGAAATAAACCTAGAAAAAAATGATTTAACTGCAATGAGCACACCTTATAGTAGACTGTGTTTTCTGACTATCATTCCCACTAAAGGGAACCAGAGTTCTTTTGAAAAATGGCTGTTTCCAGCTTTGGTGCAGGAAATGGAAAAGATGAATCTGGAATATTTCATCACATGAGAAAGCAAGAAAGCGCTTGAAAATTACTCTGAAATATAAAAATCAAACCTCAATAAATCAGGTTAAAAAAACTTGTAGGATGAAATCAAGATGGAACAACTTGAAATTTTTTTTAAAAAACTCAAAGGACTAAAATACAACAAATATTTTTAAATCCATGAATTCATTAATGACACAAAAAATCTTTGGTTATCTTTGGAGAATGGTAGGAAACTCATCATTTTGAAAAATGGTAATAAAGAGGGGAAATCAAGTATATAATCTGTCTTTTCTACATAAATTATACCTAATAGCATCTACAAAGTTAATGAAATGCTTAATTTCACAAGTATTTCAGTTGGTAAATGGAGAAGAAACCATCAAACGTCAACATTTTGTATCTTCTAACGAAATGGCATCTATTACCTTCAGTGGCTTTCAACAACAGCAATAAAGAGATGACCATATATCCAGATCCAGGAACCTCCAGACTGAAGTACACATACAACTTATGAAATATCCTTGCCAAAAAAATTCACCATGAATCTGGTCAAGATTAACAGTTCCAGAATTATGGCCAGTGGACCTATTAGAGATCCTGACACCCTCTTAAAGGAATAAGGTCAAACTATTTTCATTCTAAAACATTATTTGCCTTTTCTACTGTGTTGAAACTTGCACTGATGGTGCAAAAGCAATGGTGGGGAGAACTGCTAGGTTCTTACTAGGTGCGGTAAGTAGTATACACCTGTAATCCTAGCTTCTTAGGAAGCTGAAACAGGAGGATTGACGTCGTGGTCAGCCTTGGCAACTTGATGAGACCCTCTCTCAAAAAACAAAACAAAACAAAAGCTGGAGATGTAGCTCAGTGGTAGAGCACTCCTGGGTTCAATTCCCAATACTGCAAACAAAATTAAATAAAAACCTGCTAGCTGTAGTATGAATCAAAAAGTGGCACCTCACATTGTTAGCAGTTACTACATTCTTCAGGATCACAGGCTACAATTAAAAAACAAAAACGCCAATTCCATCAAGATCATCCTTTGATGAAGTACTAATAAGTAATAATTTATTAAAGCTCATGTCTTTTTTAACAGTATCCATGATGAAATGGAAAGTCTGCACAAAGAGTTTCTGTGGTAACTGAAATATGATGGTCATCTTGAGGCAAAGGACTTGTGCAACTGGGCTGTGAGCTCAACTAGCTGCTTTTCCATGAAATACCATTTTTACTTGAAAGAAATACTAACACACTTTGCTTTTTTAGACTTAGGTATCTGGCAAACATTTTCTCAAAAATGGAAAAACTGAGTATGCTACTTAAAAGGAAAATGGCTGCAAGTGTTTGTTGCCAATGATAAAAACTCAAACTTTCAAACAAAAATCATAATTTTGGAAAACTTGATTCCTGAAGAGATGGGTCATAAATCTGAGGATTTTTTTAAAAAATTTTGTATAATGAAGTATGCCAATATTTGGAAGATCTGTATAACACAGTGGACCAATGGTTTTCAAATGAAGAAGGCACAATGTTATTAAATCATGTGTGAATAAATGTCCCATTCAAATTTAAGTCAGGCCAATGAATTTTAATATGTAGTATATTAAAGTTTCAGATTCCACACTGCAACTGACCTTTAAGAAACCACTGACATGGCTTCCTGGCTGCCAAGCCGCACAGCCAGCCTACTGGTCCCTGCTGAGAAATGGCAGCAGAGCACTAGAGCAGAGTGGCAGGCTGGGTGGGTCGGAGTGCATGGCCCGTGGCAGAGTGGAACCCAACATGTGGGTGTGGCAGTCCTGAGGCACTGCTAGACAAGGTGCACCAAACTGTCACCCCTGGGTGGTCAGGCCTGGACAAGGTACGGATGCCTATTGTAGAAGCCCCCTGCACACATGCTGCCGCCCAGAACCAGCAAGGATAGACCATCCCATGACCTCAACTTCCCGCTTCCTGACCTGTGATAAGAAAATAGAAGCAGGACAGAGCTGAATGGCAATCGGGACTCAAGAGTTGAGAGCATTAGTACATTTCCAAACCCCAATTAGCATAAGTGTGGACCCATAGCAGTGAACCAAATGCTCTATAAATCCCTAGACTAGTACACTTGGAGCAGAAATGCTTACTACAGGGCCTCTCTTGCACTGCAAGAGTTCAGTTCCTGTTTCTATTCTTCAATAAATTCTACTCTTTCATTCATTCATCTTGGTCTGTGGATTTCATTCTTTGAATTCATGAGATAAGAACCCAGAAAGGTAAAATTGATTGTGAGCTGCTGAGGTCTGCTACAATACTTAAGGGTACAGCCCTCCATTAAGAGGTCCTCAAGCTGTGCGCGGTCGCATACGCCTGTATCCCAGCGGCTCGGGAGGCTGAGGCAAGAGGATTGCAAGTTCAAAGCCAGCCTCAGCAAAAGTGAGGCACTAAGCAACTCAGACTCTGTTTCTAAATAATATACAAAATTTAGGACTGAGAATGTGGCTCAGTGGTTGAGTGCCCCTGAGTTCAATCCTCATTACCAAACCAAAAAAAAGAGGTTCTCAGACACCTGGGAGGCGTGCTCAGACGCCTGCAACCTTATGCAGACCCCACCAGCCAGCAGAAACAGAGAAACTCCAGTCTCATCTGCAGAAGCACGGAATCAAGTTTCCTCTCAAAACTTCTGTTTTACCACCACCATTGTATTTTGATATAGGGTCAAAGAAAAATATCCACAATTATCTGAAAAGGCTATTAAAATATGTCTCCTTTTTCCAACTACACATCTTTGCCAGGATAGGCTTTCTTCATATACTTCAACCAAAATAATATATTAAGACAGATTGAACACAAAAACAGGTGTGATAATCTACTATCGCCTATTTAAGCCATATTTACAGCTTAAGAAATGTAAACAGTATCATTCTTATTGTTTGTTTTTTGGGGGGATATATGTTCATAATTTTTTATATTAATGAATGAGTTTATTAAGTGAATTATAATAAATTATTTTAAAATTTTCAGTTAATTTCTAATTCAGTAAATATCAATAGATATAACCCATATAAATAAAAGCTTTTGGAGGAACCAGGGCCTCCTGCATGGTAGGCAAGCGCTTTACTACTGAGCCATACCCGCTGGCCCCCAATAATGTTGATAAGTGCAAAGGGATCCTGAGAGCTCCTGGTCTAGATTAAACTACCAAGTTATAAGAAATTCATAGAACACATTAAACAGTACCACTCAGATGCTATCAGCAATATCCAAAAGGTTAGGAAATCATATGAAACAACTAGTTTCTTCAACAATCTCACAAAGTATGTGGGAGTAGGGGCCTATGAATTAAAAGACTGTATACATAGATATCAACCAAATGCAGTACAGAGCTCTTATCTGGATTCTATTTCACTGTATAAAAAAATTATAATGGGGAAAACTGAATAATGACAAGTATTTTGAAGCATGAAGAATCATTCTTTTTTTAGTTTTTTTTTTTTTTTAGTTGTAGAAAGACACAATACCTTTATTTTGTTTGTTTATTTTTATGTGGTGCTGAGAATTGAACCCAGTGCCTCACACGTGCCAGGCAAGCACTCTACCCCTGAGCCACAACCACAGCCCAAGAATCATTCTTTAAGGTATTGTAAAGAGGTCTTTAATATCTTAGAAATATATACGAAGATATTTAGAAATGATATACATTTACCTTTGATTTACTTCAAAAAAATCAAGAGGTAAAAGTGGGGAATAGTAATCCCAGTGGCTCAAGAGGCTGAGGCAGGAGGATCACGAGTTCAAAGCCAGCCTCAGCTAGAGCAAAGTGCTAAGCAACTCAGTAAGACTCTCTCTCTAAATATTACAAAAAAGGGCTAGGGATTTGGTTCAGTGGTCAAGTGTCCCCGAGTTCAATCCCTGATAACAAAAAAAAAAAAAGGTGGGGGACTGAGACCACTGGAAATTAACACTTAGTCAAAGGGGGGACTAGTGGAGGTGAAGGATTATATAAAACAAGAACAGTTATAAAAGTTGATGATGAATCCCAGTGGCTTGGGAGGCTGAGGCAGGAGGATTATAAGTTCAAAGCCAGACTCAGCAATGGTGAGGCACTAAGCAACTCAGTGAGACCCTGTTTCTAAATAAAATACAAAATAAGACTGGGAATATGGCTCAGTGGTTGAGTGCCCCTGAGTTCAATCCCCAGTAACAACAACAACAACAACAAAAAGTTGATGATGCATGTTGCTGAGTGATTGGAACTTCATTAGGTTTTATCTTAAAATGGAAGTTGGGGTATTCAAGGATGTACACTAATTTTTAAAATTCATTTGGCAAAAATGGACAATAAATTCATAGATAATGTTTTAGAAAAGTTTCCTATGTCATTATAAAACAGCAGATAAAATTTCAAGTTGTAGATAATTGGTTCCCAGAAAATATGAAGACATACTTTTGGGATTGTTAATTTAAACATCAGTAAAATAAAGGCATATCTGCTACAGTAGTAGTAATTCTCAACTCCTAGCAAATGTCAAAAGCATATAATCAAAAGCAAAAAACTAGACCTAATAAAGAATGAATAAGTGACCCTGCTTGAACAATTCAGTAAAACTTCTTAATAAAAACCCAAAGATGCCTCCCTTGGCCTCCACCATGAAGAGTGGCAATGGTACCAGCTTGTGGAAAGCAAATTTTAATACAGTTAAGGAAACCACGGACAAGCTGCTTGAGATTTCAAGAATTTTGAATATTGGCTTAGGCATGTAAACACTTGTCTGTGTTTCACTTTGTGAACAAGGAATTAACAAGGAAGCTTGATCATTGGTTATCAAGGAAATATGCAAGGCTATTGAAGCACTAAAGGCTGCTGAGAATATGACAAGCTGACCTTCTGCAGAAATCCTGATGAGATATGTCAAGCTCCTTGGGAGGATCTAAAGACTGCACATGAATGTACCGTGAAATTACTGCATGCAGCAGTGTAGAAAATTTTTCCTTTTTAAAAGAATTACAAAACCGTAGCTTTGTAAATTAGCGCAAAGGGGCTTACAGAGAAACCATCAAGTATCTGCATACCATCTTATTCATCTTCTTTTAAATGGCCTATTTTGGTTCTGCTATGTTTGTATTTATGTATTCCTTATCTATAGCTCTGGTAGCTTTAATTTTCCAAGCCATCTGTCCATCAGATGTGCACATATGCTGTGCCTGTTTGAAGTACAGTGGAACCCATCAGTAATGATGTGTAGTAGTTCTGACTTCTTGACATTTCCATTATATACTTTAAATTGTTTATAGATTTATATTGTATTAGGTTGAAAGTGGACAGAATTTTAGCCACCATTTGTGAATTTGTATTTAGATTCCTTATGTATGCCAGAATCTTGGTGGGGTTTTGTGTGTGTGTGTGTGTGTGTGTGTGTGTGTGTGTGGTGCTGGGGATTAGAACCCAGGGCCTTATGCATGCAAGGCAAGCACTATACCAACTGAGCTATATCCCCAGCCCTTGGTGTTTTTTGTTTGTTTGTTTTTGTTTTAAGTAGAAAATCATTTCTAGTCTTTAACAAAGAATATTTGGTTTTTTAAACATTTTTTGCACTAGGTGTTAGTGGCATATTCCTGTAATCCCAGAGAATCCAAAGGCTGAGGCAGGAGGATCACAAGTTCAAAGCCAGCCTCAGCAACTAGCAAGGTCTTAAGCAATTTAGTGAGACCCTGTGTAAAAATAAAAAATAAAAGGGTCGGGAGATGTGGCTCAGTGGTTAAGCAAAAATTCAATTTCTGGCACCAAAACTAAAAAAATAACAACAAAAAAAAACCCAACATTTTTTGGACAGTGAATAATGTCAACTAGATCATTTTTATATTGACTGAAAAATAAAACTTCTAGAAACTTAGATTTTTAAAAGTACCAACAGTCTTAGCTTAGTATTATTTATATTTTGAATCATTTATATCTAATGAGAATATTAGTCGAGAATATTTTCTAAGTTTTATATACTAAAGGCCTAAAAATGTTTTAAAATGAAACACAGCCAACAGCAAAGTAATAGGAATGCTTACCTAACAAATATTGAGTACATATTTAATAAATAACTAGATAGGTAGTATATTTCAGATAAATAATATTTTCTGAATAAGGATTTCTAATCATTAAATGGAAACTAATGAAATATACATCAGGAATCATAAATACGGCTTTTAAAAATCATTTTGTGTCATTATTTTTACCTTTAAAGTTTTAAATCATCAAAATGATGATTCAAAAATAAATTCTGGAAAATTTCAGATGGTATTGGTTCTGTTCCTGTAATAGAATCTCAGTGGAATTTTTTTTGCAAGGCTTACCATGGATTTAATCTCATTTTTTTGTTTCTTAAATGTTAGATTTTGTTAGACATCATTTAAGTGATGATATAAGCATTCATTCTTGGGTAGTATTTTCTTGTTCAGACAAGCTGAAGTGGCTTTAATAGGATTTAGTGATATTTAGATCGGCACTTTCTCTGCTGTTTTTTAAAAATCTTGGCTTTTGACCATTTTGACTTTTTCAATTCATGGTATATCTACCAAATAAACTGAAAGGTCTATTAATAGAATAAGCTGGGAGACAATAAGAATTTGTGATAAGCCACTTAAATGATACTAAACATTGCAACTACTGCATGCCATTCATAAAATCAAAGAGTATGTTTTTTTTCAAATTCCATAATTCATATGTTATTCTAGGCCACAGAGTTCATAGTGTCATTTATGATTTTATAAATTAAGCTATTTATGTATGAAACAAAGCAGAAAATATACTGAGAAATTATTATGTTTACAGAGGACTTCTGAATGTGCCATATTTCTTAAATGTTTTTTGGCAGTAGTGGGGATTGAACCCAGGGGCCCTCCACTGAGTCACATCCCTAGCCCTGTTTGTTTATTTTTGAGACCGAGTCTAGTTATGTTGCCTAGGCTGACCTTGAAGTTGTGATCCTCCTGGCGTTAAACATAAATTTTTAAATGTACATTAAAGTAATATTTAAGAAATTAAAAAAAGACTAGTTTTGATTTGCATTTCTCTAACTGCTAGTGATGATGAACATTTTTTCATATATCTGTTGACTGATTGTATATCATCTTCTGAGAAGTGTCTGTTCAGGTCCTTGGCCCATTTATTGACTGGGTTGTTATTATTATTATTATTATTATTATTATTATTATTGGTGTTTAGCTTTTTGAGTTCTTTATATACCCTAGAGATTAGTGCTCTACCTGATGTGTGAGGGGTAAAGATTTCTCCAGTTAGAATGGCAGCTATTATGAATACAAACAACAATAAGTGTTGGCGAAGTTGTGGGGGGAAAAGTACACTGATACATTGCTGGTGGGAATGCAAATTGGTGCAGCCAATATGGAAAGCAGTATGGAGATTTCTTGGAAAACTGGGAATGGAAGCACCATTTGACCCAGCTAAAACCCTCTCCTCGGTCTATACCCAAAGGACTTAAAAACAGCTTACTACAGGGGCACAGCCACATCAATGTTTATAGCAGCACAATTCACAATAGTTAAACTGTGAACCAACCTAGATGTCCTTCAATAGATGAATGGATTAAAAAAAATGTGGCGCATATATATACAATGGAATGTTACTCAGCAATAAAAGAGAATAAAATCATGCATCTGCAGGTAAATGGATGGCACTGGAGAAGATAATGCTAAGTGAAGGTAGCCAATTCCAAAAAAACAAATGCCGAATGTTTTCTCTGATATAAAGAGGCTGATTCATAGTGGGGTAGGGAGGGGAAGCATGGGAGGAACAGACAAACTCTAGATAGGGCAGAGGGTTGGCAGGGGAAGGGAGAGGGCATGGGGTTAGAAATGATGGTGGAAAAAAAAAAAAAAGAAATGATGGTGGAATGTGATGAACATTATTATCCAAAGTACATGTATGAAGACAAGAATTGGTGTGAATATACTTTGTATACAACCAGAGATATGAAAAATTGTGCTCTATGTATGTAATAAGAATTGTAATGCATTCCACTGTCATTTATAAATAAAATTAATTAAATTTTAAAAAGAAACAAAAAAAGACACATTTCAATGTTGTGGATGTTGACAATGAAAAAAATAAAACCATTTTGGTTGTAATGGCAAGTACTTTAATTTAATATATGATTCAACTGTATTTCTGAAGGTAGTCTAAAAATATTAAGATGCCTATTGTGTATGATTGGAGACTACTTAGAGATAGGTTATGTAACTTACAACTTTATTAGACTTGATGTATAAAATGGAATACTTTTCCCCTTGCAGTGAGAGGAGATAGCTACCTTAACATTGCCTCAGGCTTTAAAACAAACTTGGCAATTCAAGTGTGGATATTTTTCTATTCCTAAATAAGGGCTTCCTTACAAAGTGGCTTATAATCATTGTGAAATTGATATACATGTTGTTCCAAATATGCATAAGTTTTCCAATAACTGAATAAAATACTACTTTTTAAACATTTAATTAAAATTAAAAATGCAAAATAAATTAAACCCCAAAGAAATCTCAATTTATAATCAGGTTTATAGCCCTGATCTAGAAATGAATGGTTAAAAGTTTCAAGAAATCACAGGTTGTTGTCAGATTCTTAGGGAAAACTCTGGGCTAAAATGTATCTTTCTCAACCTCAGTCATCTACATGGTTTATTTTTTTTTTTAATTTTTTAAATTTATTTTTTAGTTGGACACAATACCTTTATTTTGTTTATTTATTTTTATGTGGTGCTGAGGATCGAAACCAGGGCCTCGCACATGATAGGCGAGCGCTCTACCGCTGAGCCCCAACCCCATCCCATCTACATGGTTTATAATCATCTAGGGAATCTGAACAATCTTCAGGTTCTGTTACTTTCATTAAATTAATTCTAAAAATTGGGGCTGAGGATGTGGCTCAAGTGGTAGCGCGCTGGCCTGGCATGCGCGAGGCACTGGGTTCGATCCTCAGCACCACATACAAATAAATAAAGATATAAAAAAAAATTAATTCTAAATTAACAGTTTGGTGATTTTATCTTCTGATGGACCCATTATCACACAAATGCAGAGTGGTATTAGCTCTGTGCTGCATTAGGATTTTATTTTTATTTTCTGATACTCCAAGGAAAATTCAAAGAATACTAAATATTCCCAGAAAAGAAGGTACTGGGCATTAATTTACTTTCTCTACTAATCTTTCCTGAGTCCCTCTCCTGCCTCTCAAACCCCACACCCCTATGATCCAAAATACTTAGGTGTTCTCACACCACAGGCCTCAAGAATCTCCAAGACATACTTCTCTCCCTCTCTCAGCCCAGAATACCTTTCCCCTCCTCCTATGGCTAGAGCACTCCTATTCATCTTTCAAACTTCACTTCAATTAAGACTTCTGGATGTCTTCCCTGGGGTTCTTGCTCTCTTCTGGGTTTCCACAGCACTTTTTTTATAAGCACTTTATGACAGAATTTACCAGAACAGCCTAGAAAAAGGTCACACAGTACAGATGGTTAAAAGGATGGGATTTGACTCAAACTTTGCTATGCAACTATCTGTATAATCTTACTAATTTAATTAAATCCACCAAATGTCAGGTCCTTCAATAAACCAGCCTTTGGTTTTCCTGATCAACTTTTTTTGTTTGTTTTCTGTTTCATTAAATTTTACTTTTATCTTTATCTTGCTTTTAGCTTACTTACAATCTTTCTTGTTGTTGTTGTTTTTGGTACTAGTGATCAAACCCAGATGTACATAACCACTGAGCCACATCCCTAGCCCTTTTTAAAATTTTTTACTTTGAGAAAGGGTCTCAGTAAGTTGCTTAGGGCCTTCCTAAATTGCTGAGGCTGGCTTTGAACTTGTGATCCTCCTGCCTCAGCCTCCCAAGCTGCTTAGGATTGCATGTGTATGCCACCCATACCCAGCATTTAAAATATTTCTTGCAACCTAAAAAGAAAATGCATTTAAGATTATAAATCTTTCTCTAAGTACCACTTCGTGCTGTATCCCACATGTACTGAATTATAGGAATCTGAATTTTGTAGGATTCTTATAATTAATTTCTAAGCAGTTTATAACTTCTATTTTGACTATTTTTAAAGAATTATTTAGAGATATGTAAAAGTGTACCTCTACTACATTTAAAAGACCTCTGTTACATTTCCAAGTAGAATAATGTGTCTTTGGCTACTTTCTTACTATTAATTTCTGATTTTATCAAGTTACAGCCAATAAATATTGGCCTATACAATTTGTGCTATTGACATTTCTTTTTGAGTATTTTAAAATAATATTGAATACTCCACATACATTTTTAAAGTTTAATATTCATTTGAAAGGTTTTCCTATTTTTTATTTCACCAACTTTGTTAAATGTTTGGGTTTTGTCTTAACTGAAATGTCAACTTTCCTTCCTTCCTTTTGTGTTGGGATTGAACTCAGGGCCTCATGCAATGCTAAGCATGTGCTGTACACTGAGCTACATCCCCAGCCTGAAATGTTAATTAATGAGGGAAGAATATTTAGTCTTCACCTATCATTGCAGTTGTTTCATTGTTCCTTGTATTTCTATCATTTTAGATAAATATATATGCTTCATGCAGGTTCATGACTTAAACTTTCTAGATCAAGTGTATTTTTTAGCAATGTAAAGTATATTTCCTCCCCATGTGATATTCTTTGAATTCTATTTCACTTTCAGTGCATATTTGCCTAGTGTATCTTTTTATATTCAACTGTTTTAAACTTTTCAGTGATTTTATTTTAGTTATCTCTCTCATAAATAGCATTTAGCTGGATTTTGACTGCTAATTTTATCCAGAGTCTCTGTGCTTTAACAAGTGATTTTATTTTATTTATTTTTAGTATTTTTTAACCTATTGATGGATCTTTATTTTATTTATTTATATGTGGTGATGAGAATCAAACCCAGTGCCTCACACATGCTAGGCAAGCGCTCCACCACTGAGCTACAACCCCAGCCCTTAACAAGTGATTTTAATACACTCACATTTACCGTGATTACTGCTGTGTTTACAATTAGACTGCTACCCTATGTGTAACTCAGCTCCAGTTCACAATGGATTTCTTTCCTTCCTTACCCACTCCAACTTGGCCCTGTGTTCAGTCTTTGTATTGTTCCCTCTACCTGCCTATGATTTGCTGCCTCTCTATGTTTATTGTAGCAGGATGCCTGCCTTTCCCTAATTAAGGCCTCTCTCAAGCTATCTCTTTAGTATGCTTTTTAAAATAGCCATTATGACCTAAACTGGTCTATTTACCGTATTACTTACTCAATGTCTGTTTCCCTCACTTAAAGTTCACGTGGGCACCAATCTCATCTGTCTTTTTCAGGGTGTTTCTGAAGATTCATGAGACAAACTGGACTTAAGAGTACAGCTTTTGCGGCATTAGGAATGGCAAAATGAGTATCTCATAAAAGTGATATTTTTTTTCCAAAAATCAATCTGTTTACTGAATGCAAAATACCTATTTTTTTTTTAAGAGAGAGAGGGAGAATTTTAATTTTTTCTTTTCTTTTTTTTTTTTTTTTAGTTTTTGGCGGACACAACATCTTTGTTTGTATATGGTGCTGAGGATCGAACCTGGGCCGCACGCATGCCAGGCAAGCGTGCTACCGCTTGAGCCACATCCCCAGCCCCGCAAAATACCTATTTTAGAGGATATTTCATTTTTAAGCACCCTTTTTCACTAAACACTACATATGTTAAACATTAAAAGGGAATCTTTGGGGTCTGGGGTTGTGGCTCAGCAATAGAGCACTCGCCTAGCATGTGTGAGGCCCTGGGTTCAATTCTCAGAGCCTATAAAAATAAATAAATAAAATAAAGGTGTCCAACTACCAAAAAGCGGGGGAGGGTCTTTAGAGTTTTTTTTTTTTCTTCCCCAACTTGGCAAATAAGGAAATTCAATTTTAGAAATGGTACAAGTATTCAGTTTCAGGTGAAAATATGAAGTTTTTTTGTCAAAATTCTCCTGCTCCTGATTAAGTTATTTACTATTTGCCATTTTGGGCAAAAAGTTCATTTCAAAACAGCAACTGCCTTCATAGAAGAAAAGAGAGAATCTTTTTCATAATTAAATACTGGTTGTCTCGAATCAAAAGGTGTCTTTCTAAGACTGTTGAGGGAAACATGTTAGCCAGTCCAACAGACACTTTAAGTTTAGGGTAGGTATTCAGAACTTTGTTCATTCAGTGGATTGGCTCTTTCTTTGCCAAATGTGATTTATAGATGTACATAATCCATACCCTATATACTTCTTTGATGCTTCTGATAAGAGTACAAGAGACTCAAAGGAGAATAACAAAGAAATTTTAAAACCATATAATGTTAATAAAATATGAATACATCCTTGTCTCTGAATTTCTGTAGGACCTAGCAGGAAAAAAGCAGCCTATGTGAAGAAACCTACACTTCTAAAAACATTTTCAAATGAGACTTTCAAGGGTTAAAAGTCAGGTTTCAGCACCACTGAATGCTGTCCCCAGAGATTCTGATTCCCTATGTCTAGGGCAGGACCTGAGAAACTGCACTTCTCATGAATTTCCAGGTAATGCCAACACTGCTAGTCTAGGGACCACTTTGAGGCCAATGCTTGCTTTGGGATTAAGGTCAGAGCTATATATCAAGAATACCAAGACATTAGAGCTTTCCATTTGATCTTTGGTATTTTCGGATATAGCAATTCATGTATATACCCCACTTCAATTTTCTTTCATTGTTTAGTTGAAATGCTCTTAAAAGAAAATTTAGAAGATAAATTCTCTTGAAAATCTGAAGGTAAAAATACAGCAGAATTTTATATATTAGGATAGGTTGGTTTAAACATATACAAATCCAAATAATTTAGAACAAGAGTCCCAACAGCAATGCCTCTAAGTGTCAGGTCAGACAGTTAATACAAATGAGTGAAGTGGGCCAGACACTGTGAAGAATTGAAGATGCCATACTCAAAGAGGGCACCTGCTACTGAGCTCCAGACAATACCCAATAATATAGGATAGACTGTAAAAATCTTCCAAGTTTTCAAGATAACATTGTATCTCTCAAGTTTTAAATCAACTAAAAGTTTTTGTGTATAGAACACACAGAAAGATCTGTGGGCTGGACACTGCCAATTTATGGCCTCTGAGTTAGAAGAATGCAGATGGGCCACATGTGAGCCTATTCACAGTGCCCACGGGTCCATTCCTTCTAGCAATCCCTTACTTCCAAAATAGAAAACACTCTTTAAAGACATACAAAAAGTTCCTTTGTATAAATAACTTAACCATCAAAACAAGTTCTCTGCCAACGATCTTAGTACAGGCAAACTATGGCAAAGAGAAATGAATTCTTCATGTATTGGAACTATTGATCTAAGATAATGAATTGCATTAAAGTGGTATTCCAGGAGAACCTAACTTCTGTAATTTAAAAACCAAAGATAGGAAGAAAGACAATTAGACCTAGACACAGAGATTTAAGGATTCTTAAGAATTCTCTCCCAATGATGGTATGATCTAGTAGCTGAAAGTTATTTAAACACCTTCTCTTACAGATTCATTGAACTGGCCTTACAAATATGTTGAAGACAACTACACAGGCAATATGGAATAGCAAGCACAAAAGTGAAAAAGATGAAAGCCAAAGACCTAGAAGAGAGGAGAGGTAGAGGGTGAACTGCATCTTTGGTCCTTTGTAAGTAAAAACACTGCACCTATGTTCAGAAAATCTGTAGTTAAATTGTCTATTAACACAGCAACTAGAACAATAATTATAAAACAAAAAGGATCAAGTCACCTCTGGCCAATGGTTTTCCATTCTACTTCAAGTAGAAGTCCTTCCCACACAAAGCCCTACGCTATCTGGCTCTCCCTTACACTGTGATCTCCTTTACTGTTCCACCCCCAAGCCATTCCTGACATACTATCTCTTTAACACATCAAGCAAGTTCTTGCCTCACGATCTTTGCATCTGTTTTCTCACTGCCTGAAAACCTCTTCTGGATGTTCACATAGTTCACTTCCTCATCCTCTTACCAACAAGGACTTCACTGACTACTCTTTTACTTTAAAAAGTTATGTGCACATGTGTATGCATGCAGCACATGTGCATGCGCGCGTGCGCACACACCCACACACCCACACACATGCCCCATCTTTCTCCTCTTACCTCCCTTTTGCTTTATATTTTCCACAATACACACCACACCATCTGACATGCTAAATGTTTTACTTATTTTCCTTCTTTATTCTATAGCATGCCTGTAATCCCAGCAACTTGGGAGGCTGAGGCAGGAAGAATATAAGTTTGAGACCAGCCTCAACAACTTAGCGAGATCCTGTCTCAAAATAAAATAAAGATGGCTGGCAATAAAGCCCAATGGTAGAGCACCCCTGGATTCAATCACCAGTCTAAAGAGAAAAAGTTTGACTAAATAAATTAATGAACACTTGGGTTCTAATATGGGTTCTGGGTTCTACTCAGTTAAATAAATTCAGGTGATTTAAAAGATCTCTATCCTTAATAAACTATGACATTTTACAAAAGTAGTAATTAAGTTAGGGAAGAATAACATCACTTCCTCTAAGCCAGTCTGCAGTGTAGTGGAAAGCCAAAATTAGTAAGGCTCCCAGACTTAAATCTAATGCCCAAACTAAGATCTTTTATAAACAACAACAAATTATGTTAGCTGAATACCAAACTTCAGAATTTAAGAATGTAAAAACAAAAAATTTCCAAACAGAAAAATGTTTTCTAGAAAGGAACATAAACTCCTTAGCTTACTTTATTCCACAATTTTTTATTGCCTCTAACTCTTTAAGTCCCTGTGAACATTACTTAGGGTCTGTGGGGAAAGGACAATGTTCCACAAGCAGTGGAAGGAAAACCACATCCAGTTTTTCACAAGAAACTTTGGAATAATTTAATATTCAGCCTCTAGAAGACTCAGAATAATCGTCTCACACTAAAATTAGGAGAACAGTTATCAAAACAGCAAAGGCACTACAGAACAGTGTCAACTGCCCTTTAGTCTAATTCTTAAATATAAGATCACAACCACAGGGCTGGGGTTGTGACTCAGCGGTAGAGCGCTCACCTAATATGTATGAGGCTCTGGGTTTGATCCTCAGCACCACGTAAAAATAAATAAATAAAATAAAGGTATTGTGTCCAACTACCACTAAAAAATAAAAAAATAAATAATAAAAAAAGATCACAACCACAAACAAACTACTAAAGACAGTCACATCTTCATTTGATGTCTGAATATTTCTTTTACCACTAACAATTTCAAACTAGACAAAAAGAAAAATGGCAAACAAATAAAGGATTTTTAAAGCAAAAGAGATGCCATTAATCAGGGACCCCGGAATTTCTCAGATGTCAGTAAAAATATTTCAACCTCATGAGGCCCTTAGCCCCAGAGATGCTGACAGGAGCCGTTGCAGGTCATACTGCCTAGGAAAATGCTCCTATGCTCAGGCATTTCAGTAAAATGAAAGCTCTGGATATGTGGTATTTTGGATCACTTCCCCCAGAAGATAGAACCCTTTATTTCAACAATACTCACAAACTCATAGTCTCCATCCTGTGGAACTTTCCAATCTGAAGAATTTTTCAGTGGGCCAGGTACACTCTTACCAAAGCTATTGATTTGGTTTTCCTTTTCTTTTTGTTCAAAGTATTCAAGAAAAGATGGTTTTGCAGGTTGCATGGTCTCATCCCTTCCTATAAACCAAGAAAAGTAAAAGGTGAATAGGCATACACTTTTATTTTAGGTAAGTTTAGTAAATAAATAGATCTCCAGATTGGCTATGTCTCCAGTTAGATCAGGAGTTTATCAAGAAAAGTTACCCTAATATATCAGAAAGACCAATGGGTCTTTCTGTTAGATGCTCTTTCAAGAATCTAATGAAACTATAGAAAAACGCACAAATGCTCAATCAAAATATTCCTTATACAAGAGAATTCAAGGTCCCCCTTAAAACAAATGCCCACACACATGGTTCCTTTTTCTAGATAGAAAGTTTTGGGTGTTGCAATGACTCTGAATAAGTTGAATATAATAATTTTAGGTCTTCCATAGTCAATAGTTCCTGTAATATTCAGACTGGAAAACACTTCAGAAAAAAGTAAATATATTTATTTAGCACCCACCAAAGACAATATTCTCTACAGGCATTTCCATAAGGAGTGGGGATGATATATTAGGGTAACTTTTCTTGATAAACTCCTGATCTAACTGGAATGAGAAAAATATGTGTGAAAAATAAAATATATGTAAATCATAATCTATGTAACTTGGAAATATTATTTCTAAATAATATTTGGAAATGCTTCACAATAAAGTTATGGGGAAAAACAACATTATATATACAGTATGATCTCAATTCAGTAAAATCATATTGATGGGGGGAAATGACTGTAAGAATACATACCAAAATGTTAACAGGGTTTATCTTTGGTAGTGGGACTATAACTAATTCTTATTTGCTATAATTTCTTTAATACATCTTTTAAACTTTTTTAAAGAAGATAGTACTGGATACATATTAAATAAACATAATTGATTATAAGAGCTACATGTGTCCATAAGATCTTGCAGGCTGGGTGACCAGGAAGATTGGTAAAGAAGCTGGGTCTCAAACCACCTCAGAGAATAGAATCAGTGGTTGGCGGCAGCAGCAGTTATCACAGGAAAGCAAATACAGCAATTACTAGTAACTCGTAACAATGGCAAAAAGAGTAATTTTACCTGGCATGATTTCAAATTCTTGCTAGATGAATGCACCTATTTCACATGTTGAAGTACCATGTGCCTGTGGTCATAATGCTAATATGGGGAAATATAGGAAGTTTTTTCCTCAGTGCTTTCCATGAATAAAGGGCTTACATAGCCCTTTTCCTCAGTAACCAGAAAGGAGGACCAGAATATTCAGAGCCTTAAGAAAGGGATGGGGGCTGAGGTTGTGGCCCCCTAGCACGTCATGCGAGGCCCTGGGTTCAGTCCTCAGTACCACATAAAAATAAATAAATAAAATAAAGGTATTGTGTCCACAACTACAACTAAAAAATAAATATTAAAAAAAAGAGAGAAAGTAATGGATGGAGAGGTGTTTCTCTCCAGCAACACTGTCCTATGTGATCTTACTTATCTCACGACACTCACCTAAGTGTAATTTCAAGCCAGAACCCTGACTGCCCCTCCGATGTTTGTCATCTTCCTATCATCACTGCCAAGGTCAACAGTAGTCAATCCCAGATCTGCCTACTTCCAGATGCCGCCAATAGCTTTTCAGACTGTAGCCTCTTTACTTATAGAGGATTAAACACCGTATTTGCTAGCACCGGTCAATGAATGCATGGTGTTTTGTTCGGTGTACTCTAGATATAACTTTAGGTGCTTTATGATATTAGGTACTTTTCATGCTTACTCTGTTTAGTTTTTAAGTTAAATTTCAGGTAATATTTCATGCCATAGTTTTTCAGGAACTACAAAAAAAAAAAAAAAAACTTATAAAAATGGTAGTGCTTTGGATTTGCAAATGTGTTAGGAAGCTATGTTCTTTTGCCTCATTCCCTTCCTGTGGGACCAGAGGAGAGGACTGCTTCAGAGGCAACACTGCAGCAATCCAACACGTAATTCTACACATAAAGTAAGGAGTGTTCAAAGAATCTCTAAGAGCCAAGCAATCTCAATAGTACTACCAACTTGACATGTTCAGAAATGGTATATATCATGACCAGACACTGAGCAGCTAAACAGAATAAAAAGTCCAGAAACAAGATAAAAAGAACAAGTGGTTACCCAACAAATGGATAGCTATTTGAAAAAGATTACTTTGGATCCATATCTCATACCATAAGCCAGAAAAACTCCAAATGGACAAAGGATCTAATTGTAAAAATGGAAAACATAAATACTAAAAGAAAATGTGTGAATGCATGTGGAAAAGACTATGACAAAAATCCAGATGCAATAAAAATAGATAAAAATTGTTTTCATAAGAAAAAGTCACAAATTTTTAAAAAATGAATAAGCACACATATACTGTAAGTCAAACCAAAAGACAAATGATAGAGGCTGGGGGCAGTGGCGCACACCTGTAATCCCAGCAGCTCGGGAGGCTGAGGCAACTCAGTGAGACCTAGTCTCTACATAAAATACAAAATAGGGCCGGAGATGTGGCTCAGTGGTTGAGTGCCCCTGTGTTCGATTCTGGTAAGTCTCCCCCTCCCCCCAAAAAGACAAATGATAAACAGAAAGAAAACATTTACAACAAATACCATAACATTTTAAAAAAAAATTTTAAAGACTATTTCAAGAACTCTTTATGTATTAGGGAAGTAAGCTCCCAATATGTAAAGAATTTTTTGAATCAAGGAAGACTAAAAAAGGTGAAAAAATGGATTAACAACTCAAAAAGACAGTACACAACAGATACCCAATTGGTCTTTACACATGAAAAAAATAAATGCTTAGGTTCACTCATAGTGAGAGAAACACAACTAAAATTTATATTTCAAAGGGCAATACGCTCTTGGTAAGGCTGGGGGATAAAGGCACACTGAATGTTGTGGAACTGGAGTACACAAGGCACCACCCCTACAAAGGGGGTCTAGCACTGAGTATTAAACATGAAACAGAGAGGCACTGGAGAGCTCTGAACATTTGAACTGGAGGTCTTAATATGATCTCATTCTTTTTTTGAAAAAGATATTTCTCAGCTGTTTTCATTAAAAGGACTTGGAGGGCTGGGGTTGTGGCTTAGCGGTAGAGTGCTCGCCTAACATGTGTGAGGCCCTGCATTCCATCCTCAGCACCACATACACCATTTACAAGTAACTAACTAAATAAATAAATAAATAAATTTTTAAAAAGGACTTGGAAAAAAAAAAAGGACTTGGAACAATGACACTTCAGGACTGATGAGCTCATTTAGCACTCAGATCTGGGGCTCCAATACCATTCTCTGCTAAAAAAAAAAAAAAAAAAAAAATTAGGACTTCATGAGAAAAATACCTGATTCCAGGTCTAGAGAAGGAGCACTACATATTGAAACTAGAACATCTTCTTGTGCAAAAAAAGCAAGTACTCAAAACAATACAAGAGACATCTTGAGCACACACCCCCTCACACACACAGACACAACTAGGAAATTCAGGAACACTTGGAATATCAAAAAGAACACACAGAATAAAAAGAATCCATAAGCTCAGAGTGATAATCTAAGAGTAAAGGAGGTTTTTGAGAGAGGAGAAAGCTTATTTCGAAAAATCACCATTTTTCAAAAATGGTGGCTGGGGTGTAGTTCAGTGGTAGAGTAGTTGCTAGAGAAATCACCACCTAACAAGCATATTATATTATGGTAACAAAAAAGAATATTCTTGGATTTTTTTTTCAACTGGGGATTGAACCCAGGGGTGCTCAACCACTAAACTATATCCCTAGTCCTTTTTATATTTTTATTTGCAAACAAGGTCTCACTAAGTTGCTGAAACGGCCTAACACTTCTGATCTTTCTGTCTCAGTCTTCCAAGTCACTAGGATTATATGCATGTGCCAACCATGCCTGGCTTTTTATTGTATTTTTGAGACAGCATCTCACTAAGTTGCCCAGGATGGCCTTGAACTTGGGATGTTCCTGCCTCAGAATTCCAGTAGCTGGGATTACAAGTGTAAGCCATCATGCCTGGCTAAAACAGTACCTTCTTTCTTGGGAAATACACACTTAAATTTTGAGAATAAGTTCCACATATCATGTACCACCTTCTCTCATCACTTCTATTATTTCATGTCCGATTTGTTTTCCTGCCTGGTTTGTTTTCCTGTCTTCTTCCTTCTTTTTTTCTTTCCTTTCATCCATCCATCCATCTATCCATCATTATATAGGCACAGAGAAATGACTAAAATTAGTTCTATAAAAATGGCAACTTCTAGGGCTGGGGTTGTGGCTCACTTGCCTAGCACGTGTGAGGCACTGGGTTCAATCTTCAGCACCACATATAATTAAGTAAATAAATAAATAAGGTATTGTGTCCATCTACAACTAATTTTTTTTAAATGACAACTTCTACCTAGAAATAATAGATAAATTAAAATTTTTCTATTGAATGATACAAAAGCCATAAGGGCATTATTTTTTAAAGCATTATATCCAGCAATAAAACATACTTCTTCATTATTCCTTTCAGTTGCAAGACAGGTAGACTTTAGATTAAACCTATAGCGTCTGTTCTCACTCTGATTTTATGGGTTGATTATGACCAATGAACAGATAGATACACATTCCTATTGCAAATTACAAATATACAAAAAATATACAAATTCCTATTACCCGAGATTGATTTTTAAAATGATAACTATAATTTCCGCGTGATATCCCCACCCTGGGTCATGCCTTCCCACAGTAACTCTGGCCCTGGCCATCTAACTTCCTTTGGGCATTGAAACAACAGCAAATACATGGTAAGCAGAAATTTGAAATTCTTGTGTACTCTACTAAAATGTAAATAAGCTTCAGTGAGCCTGATAGACGGTAAATACTATGTATAATCATCAGATGTCTTACAGAGGCCTTCATAAATCAGCCAACCCCAGCTGCTACTATAACAACTGATCACAGAGCAAAGCTAAGGGACAAGGCCTGAAGAAACATCTAGCTGAGTGCAACTTAATGCCAACCTACAGAATCATGAATGAAATAAAATGACTGCTATTTTAAACC